TTCGCAGGCTTCTTTTGAAAATAAACATTCAGGGCCCGGAGCAGTGGCCTAGCGGCTAAAGTCTTCACCTTGAAAGCGCCTGGGATCCCATATGGATGCTGGTTCTAGTCCCGGCAGCCCCGCTTCCCATCCAGCTCCTGGTTTGTGGCCTGGGAAAGCAGCTGAGGACGGCCCAAGGCCTTGGGACCCTGCACCAGTGTGGGAGACCTGTAAGAGGTTCCTGGCTCCTGGCTTTGGATCGGCACAGTACCAGCCATTGCAGTCACTTGGGGAGTGAATCATCGGATGGAAGATCTTCCTCTCTGTCTCTCCTCCTCTCTGTATGTCTGACTTGTCAATATAAATAAATAAAGCAACTCCCCCCCCCCGAATGCATTGGGGATATTAAAAAAAAAAAAATAAATGTAGGCTGTAAAGAAAATAAACATTCAGAGGTGAGAGGAGGAGATCCCACCAGAAATGCATTGAGTGTGGTTACCTGACCACTCGGTCAGCTCATGCAAGCCGCGGGGAACCACCTACAAGAAGCCTGCTCAGAAACAACGAACCACCACAGGCAAAGGAGAAAAGCACTTTAGAAAAGTCGCAACTCCTCCTAAACCTGCTCACCCTCTCTGGAAACTTCCAATCCTCCCCGGGTGAGGGCCAGTTCGTTTTCATTGAGCAGAAAACACTCAGTACTACTAATACTTAACTCAGCCGGCCGTTCAAGACCACCCACAACAGGTTTCACATATTCTTTCCAATTCTAAACACATTCCTCCACATGCTTTGCCGACTGGCACAAGGATCTCCCTTTAGGAAGCATAGTCAGTCAAGCCATTAATGAAACATTCACTTTCTCCTGAAGCACACACTCCAAAATTGGCGGCCGAAAGCGCCACAGAAATGACGTTCCAACCTCAGATGCTGGCAATACGGACAGTCTCGGCAGGCAATTAGAGGGGTCTTAGCCCTGCCCCAATCCCAGCAGCACGACCAGGGCCTGCCGGCACTGGGGGCTTCAGCGTTCGGTCTACTCTAGAGTAGGAATGAAAACCACTACAAAAAAGCGACACATACAAAGAGGCTCGTGCATTTCCCACCTAGGAGCAGCACACGCTCCTGAGAGCGGCAGGCTGACCTGGACACGCTGCGGCGCCGGTTTCCCGCTATCCCAAAGGCCGGCCCTGGGGGCACCCGGCTCCTCCGACCTCCACCTCGGCTGTCTTCCCGGCCCCGGCTCCAGCACCTGGGAAGCTCGGGGGCGACCATTCAGGACGCTCGACCCGTGTTGGAGCGATGCTCGGCCGAAACCCTTACCCAACACGCGCAACCGCTCCAATCCCGCGCCAGCCGCCACCCTCCCCACGGGCGTCAGGCTGGTCTCTCCGGCCCGGCTCCTGTCACTCACCAGCCCGGCCCGGACAGCAGACGCCCACGGCTCCCGACGGGAGCTGGGGCCCCCGGGCCTCCAGGTTTCGGCCCGCCCCCCCTAGCAGGCAGCACAGGTGGCTGAGCCCCGCAGCAGCGGCCCCGCACCGGCCGCACGGTCCAGCTCCCGGCGCTGCCCACTGGGTACGGATCAACAACAAGATGGCGGCCAGCCGAGGGGGCGGGGGCCGGGCGTCATAGTAACCAAGAAGGCAAAGAACCCGCCCCCCGCTGAGGATATCCCCAATCAACAGCCTCTTTGCCCTATGCCTGGGAAAATGCTTCCCGCTGACAGGTCGGTTGACCTGTCAGTCAGAGCCTCACGCTCCAGACCCGTGCCGAACGCCCGAGGCACGTGACTGTGACGGCACGAGTTAGCGCATGCGCGCGATTCTCAGAGTTGGTCGCGGATCTTCAGCTGGCCACTCAAAGGCCATAGCGCCCTTGGCTCATCTGCCTGCGTGTCGGCCGTGCGGAGCTGGCCGCATCTTCTCACACACACACACACACACACACACACACACACCGAGTTGGTGACTGTCCACAATGTGCTTTTTGTTTGTTTTTTTACAAACAGACACACACGGAAATGTCTGCGATATGCCGTGTGTGTGTGTGTGTGTGTTTCTTTTGCCTTAAGGGGGCTGCCGATGAGGATACGAGAAGTCACACCACCTCTTGGAGTGAAGGCACTGGGTCTCGTACCTGTCCTGCTGACCTCTTCCTCGCGTCTTCTTCAGCTTTCCCCTTCACCCGACAGAGGTGCCATGGTTCCTGTTTTCCCACCCTTTCTCTGCCGAGCATTCAGTCTTCTCAGAAGCCGGGGCACACACGTGGGAAGTCCTGCTTCTCTGCCCTCGAGCATCTACTCGTGAGCAGATCCTCTGACCTGTCTCCAAGCCACACTGTGAGTCGCAGGAAGTTGCTCACCCAGGGGCTTGACTTTATAGTGAATGTACCTCACACAATCACACCACCTGGGGCCACACCCACTTCCCCCCCCACGCAGCGTAGCTGAGACCTGAGTCTGCGGCCTCTCCTACAGCTAGTTGCCCCATCTGTAAAATGAGGACCTACGATGAGCTTCTCAGGAATGGGGAATAAACGAGAAAGGAATCCTTATGTGAGGTAGGCAGCAATCAGTGGGAAAGGATCCTAAGGAAAACAAAGTGGAACTAAAACAGACGTGTAGCAGCTTCAGGGTATTTTACACCACAAAGCAGAACCCAGTGACTTTTTTGGTGGTCCCAGCTCTTCCCCGCTCCCCACCAGTCCTCTCTGCCAAGAAGGCAGCTCAGCTTGATAACATCATTGTGTAATAAAACGCTTGGAAGGAATTTCACCTGTTTCACACCCAGCAAGCCTTTCATCCAGGCAGCCAGGCTGGAGAGGAGGAGAACTAGTGGAAAAACCTGAACCCCATAGGCTTAGCCCTCCCAGGCTGAACGCAGCCTGCTTTCAGCTGTCAATTGTTGGCCAAGATGCCTGCCATTCATCAAGCACTATCATCATCTGTTAACCTAGCCCAAATGGGCATACTCTCTCAGGTCTGTTCTGACAGATGCCCTCCTTATTAAACCATTACTTCCCATTTGTGTCTGTCTCTTTCTAAGATTCTTATGAGCAGATGAGGACCTGTGTCCCAGGTAGCTGCTGTAATGCGTAAAGCTGGCTAAATACCCAGGCACATGCAGCCACTTTCTAGGACTGCCTGCTTCCAAGTGGCAGTCCCTGAAGTCTGCACTAGCACCTGTCCTTTGGTGGGAGCCCCTATGAAGAGCGTTTTCCCCACAGAGGACACTGGAGTCCCTCGTGCCCAGAGATGTTCAGGCTGCAGACCTACAAGGAGGAATATTGAGATAGCCTGGGGGTACCACCTGCAGAGGAGCAGTCACCTAACAGCAGGTTTCCTGGAGATCTGGTAGCAGCCTGAGACCTGATGCCATGCTGGACACAGGGAGGGGACCAGCACTGTGCCCACAGATCTGCCCTCCTCCAGGGTACCACAGGCCACCTTGGCTCAGCATACAGTCAAGTGCAAAGGAAGCAGGGGAAACCCCTCAGAAAGAGGCTTCCATTGATCCCAATAGGACCAGAAAGCTACAGGGTCTCAAGTCTTCCCTCCCCTCAACTGAGAGGAAAAACAAACAAACAAATGAATCTCCAGTTTCCCCCAACGAAATACCCAGCTGGTTGGCTGCCCTCAAGTTTGACCTCTAAAAGTAACAATATCTGGGTAAGTGTTTGGTAGAGTGGGCCATCCCAGGATGGTACACCTGGGTTCAAATTCTAACCACTCAACTTCCCATCCAGCTTCCTAATTAAGTGCATCCAGGAAGGTAACAGATGATGGCTCACATGTTCAGGTCCCTGTCACACACATGGGAGATCAAGATGGACCTCCAGACTGCAGCTTCTGCCTGACTCTGCCCCAGCTGTTGCAGGTATGTGGTCAAACGAACCAGCCAACGAAAAGCTACTTCCCCGTCAGTCTCTCTCTTTGTCTCTTCTGCCTCTGAAATAAAATGAAAATAATTTTTTTGGGACCAGTGTGGTGGCCTAGGGGCTAAAGTCCTCGCCTTGAACTTGCTGGGATACCAGATGGGCACCAGTTCTAATCCCGGCAGCCCCACTTCCCATCCAGCTCCCTGCTTGTGGCCTGGGAAAGCAGTTGAGGACAGCCCAAAGCTTTGGGACCCTGCACCCGTGAGGGAAACCTGGAAGAGGTTCCTGGCTCCTGGCTTCAGATTGGCACAGCACTGGCAATTGCGGTCACTTGGGGAGTGCATCATCAGATGGAAGATCTTTCTCTCTGTCTCTCCTCCTCTCTGTATATCTGACTTTGCAATAAAAATAAATAAATCTTTAAACAATTTTTAAAAAAGAAAATGAATTTTTCAAGTTTGTAGAAAAATGGAATTAAAAGGTAAGCTTATTTAAAACACACACAAGTGTGCTCCCCTTAGTAGGAGCAAGAAACAGGTGACCTCTGAAGGGAAAAGTGAACCTTTTATAAGCACAAGGCTTATTAATATTTATTTATTTATTTATTTGGAAAGGCAGATGTACAGAGAGGAGGGGCAGAGAGAAAGATAAAGATCTTCCACCCGCTGGCTCACTCCCAAAATGGATGCAACAGCCAATGTTGATCCAAACCCCAGGAACCAAGAGCTTCTGGGTCTCCCACATGGGTGCAGGGTCCCAAGGCTTTGGGCCGTCCTCCACTGCTTTCCCAGACCATAAGCAGGGAGCTGGATTAGAAGTGGAGCAATACGGAATGCTGGTGCTTGCAGACCAAGGATTAGCCAGTTGAGCGATTGTGCCAGCCCTGGTGCAATGCCTTCTTATAGGAGAAATTTCTTATAGGAGAAATCACCTGCTTCTCCCTGGGATGTGCCCAAAGGAAGTGCTTCTCCAAGTGAGAAAAGGGAGTGTGAATCTCAGCCTTTCTTGCACAGATGAGTGACAGGGTCAGGACTTTTCTGTCAGTAATTTTGTTTATTATTGAATTAATTGAGAAACAAAGCCCATGATCAAGGGAGAAAGAAATTCTGCCTTCCTGCCTGGAGTGAAGCAGCTGCTTGTCTTCAGAGCCAGCGCTGGGGTCCAGAACGCATGTTGAACAGGTGATCTTGGCCTGTCCCCAAACCCAGACAACAGAGAGAAAGGGAGGACCCTGCTGGCCTCAACAGGACTGGCTTCCTCCCCTGAAGGGGCATCCCAGGACCCTAGATGAGATACCCCTTCTCTGCCTGCACTGGGATTCATCCTATCCCTTCCCACTCCTTTCAGTGGATCAACTTCAGTCTGACCCTCCAAAACTGGATCCCGGCTCCCTAGACAGATGGCAGATTATTCTGTCACGGTTCACCTGTGTCACACTAGGACATTAATCACTACTGGAGGCCTCTCCCCTGACCACTATCTCCCCTCCCACCACAGGCAAGACCAGATCAGACCAAGATGTTTGGCAGTGAGTGCAGACCCCATTCAGGAAAAAGTAGGTGGCAGGTGCCATGTGATAGGAGGAAATCCCAAAATGAGAGAGGATCCACACCCAAAAGGGGGACTTACGGGAGTCTTGTGCTCTGCCATCAAAATACTGCTAAAGAGGAGAGTGAGAGCAGGTGAGGAGCAGAGTCCTACCCCTCCCCACTCCACCCGGACCCAGCAAGGAAAAGGGGGTGGGGCAGGGAAGTGCTCTGGAGAAGACCGAGTGCCCCCTGGCTGGCATGGGGAGTTGACAAACCAAGCTCATGACGCTGCTTGGTACCTGGGGCAGCTCCATCCTTGATGCCTCTGCAAACCCCTTGAAGGACCCCTCAGCTGCCTGGATGCTGGGAAAGAGGAGGAACAAGAGTATAGGAGAAGGCTCCAACCCCAGAGTGGGGCTCCCAGCCATGGAAGTAAGTCAAAGAGACACACCTGTTTAGCAATAAGGCCCGTGCTGGTTTGCTTGGTGCCTGTAGCCTCTGGGACAACCTAAAATGCCAACAGGAGGGACCAACCCTTGAGGACAGCAAGCCTATAGGCTTGTAACCTCTTTCCTTGGGCTCAGTCCTAGACCCACGAAGGATGAAGGGTCTCTAGGAGCAAGGTAGGCTTCAAGTGGAAGACAGGGGTCAGTGCTCCATGTATGCCTCGAGCCCAGAGCCACCCCCCTCCACTGAACTTTGCCATCAGTGGGAGCCACTTCTTCCTAGGGTCTCTCAGATTCTAATTGCAAGGTCTCTGGAGGGAAGGTCCTCCTCAGTATCAGTTTTGTGTGCCCACCAACATGGGCATTTTCATGGCATCTTGGGTGAAGCAAGATAAAAGCAAGGGGTACAGGAATAGGAGCCCTACCCTTGGAGAAGCTTTTTAAAGAACCAGCTCAGAGCCAAGACTACAAGGACGCCAGTTCCCGTCAGCACTGCCACAAACCAGGCCTCTGGCTTCCAAAAGACCTCTGTGCCCGTCACAAGCAGGGGTGTTATCGTTGAGGGCACCTGAAATGAGGGACACAGCCTCACCACTGCCCTGGCATGAGCCTGGCCATCCTATACCCCATGATCATTCTTCCATATTGTCAGGCTCTCTGCACGCACCAGTGTCCTCTGCAACACCTTCCCCATTGTTCCACAGGGAACACTTGGGTCTCCTTACTCATCCTGTAGCATCTTCTCTTCCACCCACCCCTAACCACACCCCGCTCACTGTGGTTGTGTGGGTGCTGGTAGCCACTGTACTGGCCCTCCAGGGCAGCAGATGCACAATAACAGTGGCAGTGGTGCTGAGATGGGGGGTAGAGGGACCTGCATCAGCCACCCGGATCAGCAGCTCATAGGTTTGGGGTTGCTCCGGCCAGGGGAGCCCCAGGCGGGGGCCACTGTGCATGAGGACGGCCCCTTGCAGGTTGAATTGGCTCTGGCTGTTCCCTGAAAGCAGAATAACAACAGAAAGGCTCCTTAGCTGGCCTTGACCTGGTGCCCTTTGCCCAAAGCCTTGCATGGGTGCCTCCTGTGCCACGGCCCCACCTCTCACAATGCTATAAGAGAAAGCCAGGCGCTGTGGCTCCTGGGGGATGTGGCATGACATCTTTGTCACCTCCATGCTCTGGCCCAGGAGAGTGTAGACAGTGACTTCCTGAAAGGGAGGCTCGCACTCAGGCAGGTGGTCATTCACATCCTAGAGTAAGGAGGCCAAGTTAGGCCTGGGTGCAGGCCACACCCCGACCCACAGGCCAGCCCAGGGGCTTTCTCCCCCATCCTCCCCACATCCCTACAGCCAGAGCCTGAGGTGTACTGCCCACTGTGCCCTCCAGCCAATCAGTGGAAGAAACTGAGGCCTAAAGAGAAAAGCAGAAAGCCAGAGTGCAGGTGATTTGAATGCTTGGCTTTCCAGGCCTTCTAGGACCCAGTGACCTCAACCATGATGGTAATGGTGCAGGAGCCTGAGCGGTGATTGGTGGGGTCCTGGTCTTGGCCATAGTCAATCAGTAGGACAACCAGCCTGTATAACTTCTGCTGCTCATAGTCCAGATGTCCAAGCAGCTGTACCTCCCCTGGAAGAGGCAGGAGGGGAGGGGCGGTGAGGGTGTGGGAGGAGGCACGGCCTCAGAGCCAGCTCTGGCCCTAGCCCTCCAAACCAGCCCCTGGGTGGCAGTACCACTGAGACGATCCACAGCAAAGGTGGCAGGGCCCCCAGAGGCGTAGTACTCAATGCTGTTGTGTGGGTGATCCAGGTCTGTGCCTACCACGGAGCCCAGCAGCGTGTGGGGCCCTGCATCCTCCCGAACGTGGAATGTCTGTGGTGCGCAAGCTGGGGAGAACTCATTGACCAGTGTCACCATCACCAGGACCGGCACCTCAGCTGGGGGTCATGTGATAGTCAAAACTCCGGCCTGGGGTGTCCAGCCCTGCCTTGAGCGTTTGAGGATGGGAAGGGGAAGGGGAGGGAATTGTGGACAAGAGCCCACCCCTGCTGAGAGACTGGAAAAGATTGTCCAGGAGTATGAACTGGAGATAATTCTGCTCCATTGAAGAGGTTAGGGGGAGAGATGTCCTGCACAGACAGGAACTGGGGGGGTGGGAAAGCCCTGTCCTGGGCATGGTCACTCACTAGTCATCTGAGGCTGACCACCATCAAGCACCAGGATGGAGGCTGCATGCTGCAAGCAGGCCCCAGGAGCATCACAGTCCAGTGTGGTGTTCACCTGACCAGATTGGTCAGAGGGTGAGTCCTCATCTGGGCCTACCCTGACTCTTTTCCAGGCCCTCCCCACAACCGGCATAAATTCCCTCCCCCAGATTCTTGGTCTAACCCCAAGCACCCTGTGAGTAGCCCTGGGAGCAGGGACCTGGGTACCTCTAAGACGCTGTCTCGAAGGTGAAAGCTGGCCGGGCTGAGAGGGCTGTGGGACCATAGCTGGTAGTCAAGGAGGGCGTCAGCAGTATCCGGGTCAGCACAGAATAGGGTGTTCAGCGGGGTGCCCACAGGCGTGGTCTCAGGGATCTGAGTGCTGGAAGGGGAAGGCAGGTGAGTGGCAAGGTGGGGGTGTCTGGCCCAACCCCCACCCCCAAGCTTGCCCCAGCACTCACACCAGGAGCGCAGGGAGGCAGCGTGGGGGCCAGCGGTTGGCTGCCTGCACGATCACTGTGAGCTCTAGCTCAGCACCAGCCTGGGGTTGCAACTGTTCAAAGGCCTTTATCTGCAGCCTGCTGACCACGGCGCCTTGGGCAGGAGCCAACTCCAAAGGCGCGGTGGTCCGGATCACACCATCGACTGGGCAAGATGGGAGGCCAGAACACAGGGTTAATTCAGCCCCACCTCTGGCTCAGACCCAATCCCAACCACCCATTTCCACTGGAAGAAGGGGGAGACCACTCATGCCCCCACTTCCTGCCCCCAAGCCAGGTGCAGGAGACTAGTAGGTAACAAGGGTCACCCCAGAGCTGGGCGTTGAGGCACCTCAGTACCCGAACCCCCTTGCCCCTCACCAGGTCCAATGGAGTAGAATGTGCTGGGCATGGGGGAGACGATTTCGTAGTGCACATTGGAGGAGCCCTGGGCTTGGACGTGAAACACTTCTGTCCCAGGACCCAAGGAGTCAGGAACGGTGATATTCTGGGCCTGCTGCCTGGATGGAAATGAGGACACTGGCTCCTGCAGGGGGTGCGGGGGGGGGGGGGGCGGTGCTCCTCCCCCTAGGGCATCCTTCCTCCAGTGGGGGTGAGGGTGGGGGGAGTTGGGAGAGCTAGTATTCCTGCTGCCCTGGGGCCAGGCCCCTGCCTCTTCGCAGTTCTGCATAGGGGAACCTTACAGGAAGAAGACTTGGCTGGAGGGAGCCGGCAAGACCTTCACCATCACCATTCCTTGGCAACTTTGGCCTTGCCTAAGGGACACTGAGATCCGCAGCTGGAAGACCTGTGGGGCACACCGCACAGGGAAGAAGGGCAGGGCCTGGCCTGTTGTGTTCAGTTCTCCCTGCAATGCCAACCTTACAAGCAATCCCCAGGGTCCCTCCTCCCTGGGCCCTGTCACTCTGCTGACAAGTATTCCTGGGAGCCCTGCACTTTTGGGCCGTGAGTCCCGCTGTAAGGCTGCCAACAGCCCTGGAAAGAGAGCGAGGAGTCATTGATCGTGGGAATTACTGTCCTCGAGTGGCCCAGAACCAGGGACTAAGAGGTGGAAGTTTTTGAAAGGAGACTTCTCCAACCCCCAGACTCCATCCAGGACTTTCCTTTCAAGCGTGACAGCCCGAAGTGTTCTCCTTCCTAGGACGGGGTCTGTGAGATCTTAGAGTCAGGGACCCCTCGACTTTCACAAACTCTAGGTGTGTGTGGGGGGCGGGGGGTACAGGCACGAGAGGTGGTATTTGTTGAGGAAGCCAAGAACAATCTTCCAGAAGATGGCAGTGCTACCAAGCCATGGAAGCCCTGCACCCAGGCCTTGGTGCTGTGTTACACTCACCTTTTGCGCCTGGCCTTTGAGGCCCTGTGCTGGTGCCTGCAGCCAACCTTGATCATTAATGGAGAAAGGTGCAGGGAAGTGTGGAGGGTCCTGGGCACTGATGATTCTCATCTGACAACACAGAGATGTGGGGTAAATTGGCCTGGAGGGTACGGAACACATCAGAGAAAGAAGACCTCCACCTTGAAGATGTCCCCTATAGGAACAGCCATGTGACTGGGAAATGGACAGCCTTCCACGGGTCTCTCCAAGCCCTCATGGACTTCAGAGGCTCAGCCATGTACTACAGGGTCCCTCTGCAGGCTGGGCCTGGCCATGCTGGCCCCTTCATTTTCTTTCCCACTGCACAGCTCACCTGGGCTTCCTGGAACTCCAGGCCTGGAAGCAGCACAGTGTAGAGGCGGGCCCCAGGTGGGACAGTCTCCAACACCTGGATGACTTCCCCAGCTGGACAGAGAGGAGGGTAGGAAGAATTTGTGAAGGGCCATGCCAACCCTGTCCCCTTGTCTGCTGTCCCCATTTCCACCCCTGCCAGGCCTCACCTGGGCTGGCAAACCGGCCAACACACCGGATCCGGCTGGGATCCCGCAGCACATCCACAGAGAGCGGCCCCTGGGTTACCACGTTGCCACAGGTGAACTGCAGCTGCAGCTCATAGTGGTTTACCTCCAGGGCATCCAGCCGAGCCGAGCTGCTCAAGGTCACCTGGAGTGGGTGGGTGGGCAGTGCCACATGGGGTCTGGGCTCTGTCTCCCCCTCCTCCTACCACATCTGGCTTTGGGAATCTCTGGTCTGGCTTTTGTGCCCCCAGCTGTCCCAGTGCCACTTGCCTTGCCCACATAGCTCCCCTGCCACCTGGTCAGACTGGGTCGGTTGAAGAAGGTGGTAGGCGGCTGCACGCTGAGCAAATCCAGGCTGGCTGTGGGTGCGGAGCAGTTGAAAGAGAAGGGCTGCAGAATGGTGCCAGGACCCTGGCTCTCGGAGACATTTATGAACCAGGGCAGGCTGTAAAGATCTGTGGAAAAGCAGACAGTTCAAGGTTGTATGCACCATGCATAGGAAGCCATCCATGAGCCCCTCTGACTTAGACCTGATCGTACCCTAGGGCCAAGCAGCCACAACCCTTCCTTACCCACTTTCTGCCGCTGACAGTTGACAGAGAAAGAGTAAAGAGGTGAAACAACCAAAAATAAAGAATGAGGGTCAGGGGGTCAGACCCCACCCCTTCCCCTGCTCTCCTTCCCAGCCCCTGGTCCTCCATGGCACCTTATCTGAGAAGGGTCAAGACTTCAAGGAAAACTTGGTGTTCCCTCACCCACCAGTTCCTCACCAGAGACAATCAGAGCCAAAATGAGCACCGGGAGCTTGAGAAGCCCCATGCTGGCCTAACCCCACAGACAGTACAGGAGGCTGTTGGTCAGGCCTGCCCTGTTGCCAGGTAGCCAGGTAAGTTGCTCAAACACAGCTGGGCCTCCCAGGGCTTCCAGATCCCAGCTCCACCCAACCCTGGTGCAGAGAGCTGCAGTCACCTGCAGGCTTACAGAGCCTGGAGAATCCCGTTTTCCACACTCCTCTGGTGATTCCCTTTGCTTACCTCAACCCCAAGGGGATGTCGGAGGATACAGCCTCTCATGGGGAAATTGGTCCCACAGTCCCCAGAGACAGAGCAAGCCCAGTGCCCAGCAAAATTGTGCCCAAGATCTGCTACTTCCCTGATTTTGCACTCCAATATCTGCCACCATTCCAACACGGTCGGCACATGACATCTGAGCCTAGGAGTGGGTATTTACCACCGTGGTTAAGTTGCTGCTTGGGAAGCCCACACCCCAATTGCTTGGTGCACTCTCTGCTTCCGATCCATTCCCCTACTAATGGGAAGTAGCAGAGGATGGCACAAGTACTTGGGTCCCTGCTACCAGGCTCCTGGCTCCCACCTGACCCAACCCTGGTTGCTATAGGCATTTGGAAGTGAACTAGATGTAAGATAGCTCTGTCCTTTTCTATTACTATTTTAAATAAAATGAAAGAGTTTGAGCCTATCAACAAGATCCCTCTAAAATTTTCTACATTCAACAAGCAAATGAAACCATTGGTGATAGTGATGAAAATAACGATTATTGGGCCCGGCATGAAAGCGTAGCGGTTAAAGTCCTCTCCTAGAACATGCCAGGATTCCATATGGGCGCCAGTTCTAATCCCAGCCTTCCCGCTTCCCATCCAGTTCCCTTTTTGTGGCCTGGGAAAGCAGTCGAGGATTTCCCAAAGCCTTGGGACCCTGCACCCATGTGGGAGACGTGGAGGAGCTCCTGGCTCCTGGCTTCAGATTGGCTCAGCTCCAGCCGTTGTGGACACTTTGGGAGTGAACCATCAGATGGAGACCTTCCTCTCTGTATATCTGCCTTTCCAATGAAAACAAATAAAAAATCTTAAAAAAAAAAAAAAAAAAGATTATTGATGGTGAATATCCATCAATGGGGGAGGGAAGGGAGGCTGGGGAGCACAAGGTAGCTTCCTGGAGGGGCCTCAGGTGCCCCTGTGTCCTGGTCTGGGCGTGCAGATTTTAACAATGATGGAGATGTAACTTTTTTTACTTCATTTCATTTTTTAGTAGAGCGAAGCCGCTTTTCAAAAAAGATTATTATCTTGAAAAAGTGACAGAGGGAAGGACAAAATCAGAGACGTTTTAGAGCTGCTGGTTCACTTCCCAAAGGGCAGCGACAGCTTGGGCTGGGCCAGACAGGAGCCAGAAACCAGGAACTCCATCTGGTTTTCCCACATGCATGATGGGGGCCCAAGCGCTGCCGTCATCTGCTGCCAGGGAGCTGGAGAAACTGTTAGTGCTAAGACTGCCAAGTGACCCAACTCATTGGGCTGCAACATCTGCCCCTCCTAAGGTCTTCATACTGGTTGACTCCTCTGCCTAGAAGGTCCCTCTTAAAAAATTAACATGCATAGCTTTGTGCAGTAGCAGTATCGTAGCCAATGAGGTTTATCTGAGACATGATTATTGCTAATTGAAAACTTTTCCCAATACCCTGCTGTGACAACTTGAAATATAGTCGGCATTGGCAAAAAAATAATAATAATAATAATAACATTCACACGTTCACCTCAAAGGTAGAGAGCCACACAGACACACACACGCACACACACACTGTATGCTTCCCAGCTTCTGATTTATTCTCTTCCCAAAGGGTGAAATGGCAGGGGCTGAGCAAGGGCCCAAATAGGAGCTGAGAACCCAAAGGGGGAGACATTGCCTTTAGTTCACAAGTTCTGCATTAGTGGGATGCTGAGATGAGGAGCTGGAGTGGGGACTGAAACCCAGGTGCCCAGATGTGGGATTTATATGAATTAACCACTAAACCAAACGTGTTTGCCTCTGCCCACCCCCTTTCTAAAAATTATTTTATTTTAAAGGCAAACTGATGGCGAGGGGCAGGGGACAGGGAGAGAATCTTACAGAGATTGAAGTCAGAAACCTGGAACCCCATCCAGGTCTCCCACATGGGTGACAGGGGTCCAAAGACTCGGGGCATTCTTCACTGATTTCCCATTAGCAGGGATCTGGATCAGAAGTGGAGCAACCAGGATTGGAACCACTGCCCATATGGGATACCGGCGTGGCAGGTGGCAACTTCAACCCCTAGGCCATAACACGGCCGAGATTGCATTACGATGTCATCTCCCCCTTGGGTGTGCTCTCGTCCAAGCTGACCCGTTTTTCCCATGTCAGGATGTTTCCTGTCTGCTTGCAGTCTCTCCACCCTCGAGCCTGACTTCTGCTTGCATGGGCTCAGAGGCCAGGCTCTGACCCTCCCAGCACTGGCTCCGGGTCTGTAGGTGCAGGACCACTGCAGTCGCCGCCGCTCACCAGCAGGGGGCGAGCCCGCCTCGCCCGGCTGGGACGCCGCGCTCCGGGCGGCTGCCTGAGGTCCTGCGGTCCTCGGGAGGGCCCAACCCCAAATGGCATCACTTCCAGGAATTGTCGAGGCTGGCCTCGGGAGCCGGCCAGGCTCCGAGTGGGTCACAGCGTGAGCGGGGCCCGCACGTGGGCGCAGCACGGGGTTCCTGCAGGACTGCTGCTCCCCCGTGGGACAGACAAGGAGCCTGAGGCCACAGCGGGAAGCGGTGAGCGCAGGGAGAGGAGACCCGCGCGGGGCGTCCGGGGGTCCCGGCCCTGCCCCGGGGCCGTTGCGGAATTAAGGAGGTGGCTCCGAGGTGCCCCCCTCTCACAGGGCGGAGCCCGAGGGGCGTGGTCGTCCTCGTCCCGCCCCGCCCCCGGTGCGGCAGCCCAAGGGGGCGGGGCGCGGCTGCCAGATGTTGGGGCGGCGGCGGGCGCTACGGAGAGCGACGGGCCGCGGAGCCAGGGAGGCGCAGGGTAGGGGCGCCGCTGGCCGGCCGGCCCGGCCCTCTCTGCGCCGCTCCCGCCGGGACTCGAGGAGAAGGGAGCTGGCAGGCCCGGCGGGGGCACCGGCGCGGACATGCACAGCGCCCGGCTTGACAGCTTTCTGAGCCAGTTACGCTGCGAACTGGTGAGACTGGGGGAGCGGGTGTGGCTCCTGCGGTCTCGCGTGGGGTACCCGGCTGCCGTCCGGCCAGAACAATGAGCTGGTGTTGGGTGGTCCCGCACTCCCCCTCAGACAGGATGGGGGCGGAGCAGATGGCCCAGATGGCCCTCGTCGGGCGTCGTCGGCGCGGGGGGGTGGGGGGGCCCCGCAGGGAGCTGCTCAGGGCATCAGGTAACAGTCGCCCAGCTGGCCACGCTGCTGGGGAGGAGAAGAGGGACGTGGTGGTGAGGGGGGACACTTCCTTTGGGGTGGGACAGGGAAGGCAAGGGACTACAGAGGTGTTGGCACTGCTGTGGTTGTTCTCATGCCCGGCAGGCCTGTGCCTCTTCCCTACACTTCTCAGAAGCAGTGTCTTTCTCTGAAAGACGCTTTGGCCTTTGGGGAGCTGAAAACCCACCTTGGCCCTGACAGGCCCTACTTCCCAATGCAGGCCCTCAACCCTGCTTGCCAGCCGGTGGCGAGTACCAACTTGCCCAGCCCTGCGTGCTATAGCACGCTGTACTGCCACCAGGTCGGCGGATGGGAGCCACAGGAGCTGCCTGTGCCAGCACCCTCGTGCTGGGCCCAGTGCCCCCTCGTGGCCTTGCTGCTCAGGGCCCGTGGGCCTAGTGAGCTCTCCAGGACCCCGTACTCTTAGGGCTGGGTAAGCCAGGCAGCCAGGGGTGATGACAAGCAATGTCCCTCCAACTTCTGCCTTCTCTTTCACTTCAGTTGTGTGGCCGAGATACTGGCTCACCACCTATGCCTGGGCCCCTGCATCCACCTCCCCAAAGTGTCCCCAGCGTGCAGAGTACTGCCCAGCACCTCAAAGCCACAGATGTCTTGGAAGAAGACTCTATCTGCTGTGTGGAGGAGGAAGAGGAGGAGGAGGCAGCAGTGACAGAAGATCGGGGTACAGCCCTTGGGGGCCCCAGAGAGCATGCCCTGGATTGGGACTCTGGCTTCTCCGAGGTGTCAGGCAGCACGTGGCGAGAGGAGGAACTGCCAGTACTACGGCGCCGCCCGGCACCCCCACGGCGCCCCCAGAGCCAGCGCCTCTCTGTCAGTGGCCTCCTGTCCGGCAGGGCTCCTGCTGCGGACGCACGGCCTACCTGTCGTCCCCGGCCCAAGTCCACCCCAGACGCCTGCCTGGAGCACTGGCAGGGACTGGAAGCAGATGATTGGACCGCAGCCCTGCTCAACAGGGGTCGTAGCCGCCAGCCCCTGGTGTTAGGGGACAATTGCTTCGCTGACTTGGTTCACAATTGGATGGAGCTGCCGGAGGCAGCCAGTGAAGGAGGTGACGGAGGTGAACCCCGGGCCCGTGCTCGCCCCCCCCAGTTCCTGCTTGGCCTCTCCGAGCAGCTACGGCGCCGACTGGCCAGGGCACGCCGGGCGGCCATGGCAGGAAAACGCCTGTCGTGCCCGCCTCGCCCAGAACCTGAGCTGCCTACGGATGTGTCCCGTTTCGCAGCACTCATGAGCTGTCGCAGCCGGCAGCCCATCATCTGCAATGACATCAGCTACCTCTGACCCTGTTGTACCCCAGATGGGGACAATAAAGGCCTTTTTCTAGACCTTCTAGGCTCCTGTCTCTGAGGCTGCAAGAGGCAGCCTCAGCCCTGCAGGGCACGGCCCAGGCGAACACATCTAAAGAGCTGTGGGAGGGTGCCCGTCACACCCGTGTCACGCCTGTGTCACGCCCACGTGCATGACCGCACTGCATTCTGTTCATCTGGCCCACTCACACCTTTCCTCAGCAAGCATTTATTGAGTGCCTGCTGCAAGCACGGCTGGTGATACAGGGCAGCCACTGTCACAGCTCCAAGTGCAGAGGTGGGAAGGCGGTGTCCTCCTCCTCACCCTCACAGCTCAGCTCCAGGACCAGCACCTGCAGCAAGGGGTTGGGTGCCAGGCCTGTCGCCCGCCGAACCAGTTCTGTCACCCTGGGAGGAAGAGGGGGTGCAGTAGGTGAGTGGCAGATGGTGGAGCTGTAGCCTAGCCTGGACCAGAAAGGGTGCTGGTGAGACATCAGGAGCCTGGGACAGGAGTGGAGCAGCTCAAGACAGGAAACATCTGAAACTATTTTAGGAGAGGCTGGAGGGGCCGGCAGCAGGCAGGAAGCCGTGGGTCCCCTGGGAATGAATGGGCTGTGCTGGGCTGGCGGGGCGGCTGGGCAGGGTGTGGAGGAGCCAGTGGGGTGACCATGCAGCCTGTTCCTGAAGGCTCCTCCTCAGGTCCAACCCTTGCCCCGCCCCCAGCCCATTTGCTAGCTCCATTTGGTCAAATACTTCAGGAAGGTGTGAGGGGCCTGGATTAGGGGTGGGAAGAGGAGGGGCCGTGTGACTCCCCTCCTCTACCTCCATGGTCATGTGGGCCTGGCGTGGGTATGGTCTCACCTGAGGGGCAGGCACTGGGCCTGCTTCGCGAGTGACCAACCGGCGGAATAGAGCAGGGCTTGACCGTGCAGCAGCATCCTCACGTTCAGCCCGTGCTGCTCCTGAAAAGAGGGCAGATGCCATCAGCAGGCATGCCTGGGCCAGGGTGGGCCTGGGGGCACACCTGGGCAGGGAGCGGGCAGGGCAGACCTGGAGATGGGCCAACAGCCACTGTAGATTCCTCTCCGGCTGCCCAGCAGACACCTTCAGGCGGTCCCAACATGTCCACTTCAGGTGACGGAACTAGGAGGTGGCCATGGGGAGGGGAGGAGAGACTTTTCACTTCCAATCCCCAACCCCAATCCGGTGGGTTACTAGGAGCTTTTTCCTAGGGGAGGAGCTGCACCAGAGGCAGGAAGCCGGAGCCAGTGGAGGGGGTGGAAGGTGGGATCTGGGCCCAGAGTCTCAGCTCCCACCCCCAGCCATGCTGGGGCCAGCACAGGAAATGGGGCCAGGGGGCCCACACAGGGAAACAGACTATCCATCACACAGGCCAGTTGTGTTGGGGGGTGGGGAGCGAGGGGGGTGAGGCTTCCTCAGGAAGCACCAGTGAGGTTGCTGCAGTCTCTCTGATAAAACTGCTGGTTCCTCAAATGCAGGGCTAGGAGCTGGGGGCACATCCTGTCCTCCATCTTTATTGCCAGAGCACCCAGCACAGTGACCCCCAGAGACCCACTGGCCCAGAGATTCCCAACAGGGACATGATCTTTAGAGGCCTTCTCTCCCTGTCCCCTTTTTCCTTCTGTTTCAGCAGTGTTGGGTTTCTGGGGCTTAGAGCTGAGGGCAGCAGGAAGCCTGAGGCCAGGACACAGGGGCCCTGCCAGCTCTGCACTGAAACACATGGAGGGTCAAACTGAGACTAGACTGGGGGGCAAGAGGGGCTCCTGTTCCTCCCCCTCTCTGTCCCTTATGCAGACAAAGGCAGTTTGTCTAGTGCTTCGAGGTGGGGCACCTCACAAAGGGGCTCTGTGTGCTATGGCCAGAGGGACTCAGCAAAAGCCCAGGCCTGGCCCATGACCTCTGCCCTCTCTTCCTGGTGCGGGCATTCTATCCACCCCCATGTCTTGTGCCCCAAGGAAATGCCAACAACCACAGTAGCTGGGCTCGCACTCTCAGGAAAACCCATGTGTGTGCTTTCATGTGCACAACCATGCACTCCCATTTGGCACACAGATGTGCAAGCTTACTCCCTTCATGCCCACACCCCAGGGGTGCCAAGGCTTGGTTTACTCACACCTGTGACACAAACGCATACCAAGCACCCCTCCCTGCCAGGGCTGCTGCAGTCCTCACATCCCTTTGTGGTAAGTCTGCTGCCCTGAAACCCAGCTTAAACGCACTGTGCGCGAGAAGCCAGACTTTCTTTTCGGTGCTGGGGCCCTCCTTCCCCCACCTCCCCATCCTCCCCAGGGGTACTCCAGGGAAGGAGGGAGGAGGGGCTGTTGGGGATGTCTGGCTCCACTAATGAGTTAAAGCTGCAGTTCCTCAGACCTTGGGCATGCAGAGGGCTAGGGGGTGGGGATAGCTGACGGCCACTTCCTGTGTCTGACAGGTCCCAGCTTGGCTTCCTAGCAAGAGAGAGGCTGCCAGGGGGCTTTGCGGACTCCCCCACAGTCTAGGTACAGGAGAGAGCCTGCAGCTGGTGGGGGAAGTGGGAGAAGCAGCCTATTCCACTTAGTTGGTGCAAGCAGGAAAGCCCAGGCTTCCTGGGGGTGGGGTAAGGTGTCGAGGGCTCACCGTCTGGGTGGCTGGTGCGGGAGGCACGCAGCGGATGAAGCAGTTTTCATCCAGGTACAGCTGACTGTGACGAAAGGCACCCAGAGGCCGTGGCCCACCTACCACCTTATAAAGCTCCAGGCCTACCAGGCCCGCCACAGCTGCTGTGGTGGTGGCAATGGCTGGGATGATCTGGCCCACAATCCGCTTGCTCTGCCAACAATCAGAGATTTAGGGAAAAGGCTGAGCCTGAATCTCCTGGCCTGAGCCCCAAGGCACAGGGTTACCTGGTCCCGAGTGACTGGCAGTATGCCGTAGTTCTGAGATCGCAGGGTGGCCGCCACTGCCACGAAGTCCACATGGAAATTGCTGTCGTCATCCTGTAACGGTCACAGCCAGTGCCTCTTAGCTGCAGCCAGCTGGGTGGAGGGAGCAGCCCCCTCTCCACTGATCACCCACCCAGGCCAAGGCTCAGCGAGAGGGGACTGTTTCAGGAAGAAAAGCCAAAGGGTCCCAGACTGCCCTCCTGGCTCCTGACTGTCCCGTACCATCTTTCCAGCCCCCATGGGAGCACACACCTTGTTAAATACCAGCGGGTTCAGAGGGTGCTCGCGCCACACTCCCAGGACCTCTTGCAATCCCGTCAATGGCTCAGGGCCTGTCGTGGGAAGGGATGGGGAGCAGGCCTTAGTCCCGGCTCCCATCCTCTTCTGGCTTGGTCACTGCCAAGCTTATTGCTTACAGTTCCTTGACCAAGCTGGGTAGCCTTTTGTCCAATATTACAGTTTTTTCCTCAGGAACCCCAGCCTTCATCTGTATGTGTGCGTGTGTACATGCACAGATGTGACCTTGATGACTGTCCTGACCCAGCAATTAGTGCTGGCAAGTCCCAGGACCCGATTTTTAATTTTATTTGTTTATATATTTTTTTGAGAAGCTACTGAAAGAACTGGGACATGGAGGAGGCAACAGGGAGGATATGTTGGGGTCCAGAGCACGGGGTCAAACATGAGGGACAGCAGATCGGCCAGAGGGCTCCCACATCCCATCTTTCTTCTTAGCACAGGTTGAGAATGGGGCAGGCCAGTGACTGACAACATGGGAGGAATGTTGGGATTGAAGGGTTGGCCAGGGCCAAGAACTTAACCAGACTTAGCAGGAGCCCAAGCAAGCTCTGGAGCCATACCTGGGCCGGGGGCCAGCAGCTGTGGGTCAGGCTGTGGCAGTGACTTGAGTAGCGCTTTGAGTGCAATCTGGTCCCGGCAGCCAGGCAGCCCATGCATTTGGGCATAAAGGTTGGCAGCTGCCAGCACAAAGAGGAGGTGGGTCTCCTGTAGCCACATGGAAAGCAGGGAAAGGGGTGTGGCAATAAAACAGGCATGCCTGGGGGCATAGGGTGAGGGGGTCACTGCCCATTTGGGAATCCCTTTGGCTGCCTCTGCTTCATATTGGGGATACCCCAGGGGCACAGTCACGGATCTTTTTCAGCACCTATGCAGAGGTGCCTCCTTCTGCTCTGAGGCGCTATGTCTCTATCTTGGGGCTTCCCTAGGGGACCCCACTCACTTGGTCAACGTCAAATTCCAGGGGCTGGGGACACCGTTTGGGACCTGACCAGAACGGAGTTCCATCTTCAAGCACCTAGGGAAACAGAGGCTGCTGGGCTCAGTCTAGTCCGTCTGAGCCCTCCACTTCCCAGCTCCAGTCACCCACTTTATCAGGGGGGAAGCTCTTCAGTAGCTGGATGATGCTAGAGTGGAAGCGTAGCTGCCAGTGGCCGCGTGCCCACACCACACAGTCTTCCCAGGTCTGTGCACGTGCCTTCAGCACACCTAGCACTGGCTGCAGTAAAGCCAGTTTCTGTGGCCCGTCCACGTCTGCCAGGGAAACATGGGGCCTGCCGAGAGAGGAGCCTGGTTTGCTACTGAGCTGGGCAGTTGCCGGTGCTTGGAATCCTGATCTCCCATCCACCTCTGCCTCTGTCCTTACTGCAGGCAGCCACTGATGGTCTCTGCAGGCAGCCGGAAGAGTCCCTCAAACTCGTCTCGGGCCCACTATGGCAGAGGGATAAATGATGAAGTGTCAGATGGGGAAGTTCATCTGCTTGATGGGGACTGGGGGGTTTCCAGGGTGCTCCCCACCTGCAGGGTGTGCTCAGCTGTGCTAGGGAAGTGGCGCACAGTACAGATGGGGTAAGTGTCATCCTTAGCTGACTCTGGGCCTTTGTAGCCTTCAGTCACGTGTGGCACAAACACGGTAGCACTGCCTTGGGTGCCCTCTGTGCCTGCCTCCAACAGTGGCTTCAGGTAGTGGGTGCAGCGGGTAGCCACATAGTGCCCTGGTAAGGGAGGTAGAGCATCAGAACAGGGGCTGGCACAGCCCAAGGCAGGAGGCTGAGCTCTAAAGGTGAGCACTCACGGGCC